ATTTGTAATTCCACACAAACTTTTGGCTTTTTCAAAATCTCTACAACATGTGGTTGATCAGGCCTCATATTATTAGATAGATCCGAACTTGAACTGACACCTTCGCTAGGCATATTCATTTCTTTAGCTCGTTGAGCTCTAGTCATCACGTTTATATCCTTTCCTACCGCATTTGTACTTAAGTCTTTTAATTCATGAGAAGTAATCACAATCCTCGATAGAGCATCGGCTGCAACATTTTCTTTCCCCTTAATGTACTCTACCGAAAAATCAAACTCCTCAAGTTGTAACCGAAACTTCATTAGTCTACTTGACGGATTTCTTAAACTGAATAGAAAAACTAAAGGTCGGTGATCGGTAAATATTTTGAATTTCCGCCCGAAAATGTAGGGTCTGAAATATTTACACGCCCACACGATCGCTAACAACTCCTTTTCTATCGTTTCGTAGTTAAGTTCTCCTTTATTCAGCGGCCTACTCGCGAAAGCCACAGGACCATCGTCTTGGTTACTTAAAACTGCACCGATTGCAATACCCGAAGCATCCGTTCGGATACCAAAGATATTGCTCTCGGAGAAATCGGGGTACTGGAGAATGGGTGGATGTAACAATTTATTCTTTAACGCTTCGAAAGAATTTTGGCATTGCGGAGTCCAACTGAACGTCACATTTCTTTTTGTTAATGCGTTTAATGGGGCTGCGAGTGTAGCAAAATGTTTTATAAATTTACGGTAATAATTTACGAACGCCGTAAATCTCTTGACTTCTAATGAATTTCTTGGGATCGGGTAGTGCTCTACCGCTTGTGTTTTCTCAGGATCTGGTTGGATTCCTTCCGATGAAATCACATGTCCCAGATACAAGATTTGTCTCTTTAGAAACTCGCATTTTTTCACGTTAAGTTTTAATTTAACTTTCCTCAATCTTTGAAATACTGAAATCAAATTTTTATTGTGTTGAGATAAATTTCTTCCGAACACTATCAGATCGTCGAGGTACACAAAACATTTTTCGTAATTTAGGCCGCTCATGGCCACTGTCATCATTCTAGAGAACGCACTGGGACTTATTTTAAGCCCCATGGGTAATCTAGTCATTTGATACTGGCCACGATCGGTACTGAATGATGTGCATCCTCGAGATTCTGGTGAAAGTTCCAATTGGTAGTATCCCTGAGCCAAATCCAAGTGAGAAAAGTAAATTGCTCCAGCCAACGAATCTAAAATTTCGGTTATGTTTGGCAAGGGAAATTTATCGTCTTGAATTTGCTTATTAAGCAACCTGTAATCCACCACCACTCTCCACTTTTTATCTCCATTACCTGATTTCTTGGGCACAATGAGTAACGGGGCAGACCATTCGCTACGCGTTTCTTCGATAATACCATCTTTTAGCATCCCCTCGACCTGCCTATGAATTTCGCTCTTTTGTGCTTGCGGCAATCTATAGGGTTTCACATATATAGGATGGACGTTATCTTTTACGCGGATGGTTTGTTTGTAAACATTCGTTACACTCAATTTGTCATTCTCTAGCTGGAATACATCTGCATATTTTGCGCATATCTTCTCGATAGACCATCTTTCTTCTCCTCGCAGATAATCAAGGTTGAGCTCTTTGAATAAATTCTGAACGCGTTCGTTTGAGTTAAAGTTATCACCGAATTTTCCGATGAAATAGTTTTCTGCTCCATGACTCTCAGGCTTAAAATTTCTCAGTGTAACACATTCATTTCTTACATTCAAAAATCGTACTGGAATCACACCATTTGTCGGCCGAACAATCATTCCTGCAACAAACACACCCTTACATACTTCCTTTGGTACAATCACACTATCACTCGTAGCACTAGTCTTAAAATACTTTATAACCTCGCATCGTGCTGGAATTATTGTATTGATATTTTGACTTCCTGATTCGATTGGCATCTGCACATCCCTTCCATTACACCATAATGATAAACTCGAATTCTCGTAATTTATTATCGCGCCAGTTTTCCTCAAGAAATCAGAACCAATAATTCCGTCTACATCTTTCATAATTTTATTCAACACGTGAAAATCATGCACAATGTTTCCTTCATTCAACTCGCATGTAACTTGAGTCACTCCAAGAGAATATGTTGACCCACTAATGCCGTTTATTCTTATTCTCTTTTCCTCATTTATGGTCATATCACTCGAAACACATTCTTTCTTCAATACACTGATTGATGCTCCCGAATCCACTAGGAAACGTAAGCCTATCTCATTCACATTAATTCTCACAAACATCATACTATCAGTGCCATTGGAGCAAAAAATATACTGCTGATTAATTGAAAAAGGTACGAAAACACTCTTCGTCATCATAAGTGTTTCCTTGCCCATTGAGGTCATTGTATTCGGTGAACGTCTGGACGTTTTCTTCTCTAGCCACTTGCGCGGAGTTCACATTTTTCGAATTCCCGCGGTATCCATTCCCGCGATTATTCCCGCGATTTCTATTCCCGCGATTATTCCCGCGATAATTTCCTCGGTAATTTCCTCTATTTCCTCCAGTTTGGTTATTTACGCGAGCATTTCGGCCTCTCGAATTAAAAGTCCTAAAATTTCCCCGTCTAAAACTTTGGCCTCTGAACTGAAACACATTTGCTTGCTCCGGTCGCGACAAATCTTCATCTAATGCACCTCGGATAGCATCCTTAAGGGAGTCATAGTTTCTCGCTTTTATAATCGTCGCAAGTTTTTCGCTTTTTAAACCATTAGCGAACGAATTTATCGCAATTCTTTCGTTATGTGTTTTTAACACTCCAAATGTGTTCGTCTCATCCACTGATTGTGCTAGCGTTAAATCAATGAACATTTCCTCGATAGTTTTTCCAAATTTTTCGATAGAATCCTTTCCTTGACTGGCCGAACATAACTGGCGAACGAGAGCTGTATCGGATTTTTGGGGTAGCAGATATTTTTTCATATCACTGACCAAATTGGATATAGAATCGTATGACTGTTTTAATTGCAATTTCGCGGATTGGGTTAAACGCGTTTTCAAGACAAATTGTAACATCAGTGACTTTCCTGTATCATTTAGCATTAATTCGTAGAGCTCGATTGAGTCAATAAGTCGACGAGTAACTTCTGCATTATCAGTCATTACTGGCAACAGATTTGTTGCTGTTTTTAGATCAAAATGTTGCGCCATTTCAGATGGATTGTATTGATTCTCTACTTGATTATCTACTGCTGAATTTTGCTTTTCCTCTTCGTTTTCCTGCACTCCGGATCTTGCTAAAATCTCTTTAGCGGCTTTTATCGTCTTTTTAATACTTTCTACAATGTTTGGAATCACCAATTGATCCGCTGCACTAAAACCCTCATTATTAATTCTCTCTACCACTTTATTAGTTTTAATTTTTATCTCATCTATTTCACTCAATTTTTCTAGATAAGTTGTTGTTGAATATGTTCTATTTGGGTTCTTCCTTAACAGCGAGACAATTTTTAGGATTGCGGACTCTAATAATTTCAATTCTTCCATGGATTATAGCTACATACAGAGTTGTACGACCTTACTTCCGCTGAACTCGATGGTTATTGAACTCTTGGTCTGCTCTTCCGGTCTGCGAAGTAAATCTCCTCTAGTTGCTCGGCGGCGCGGCAGTTCTCAACTCGACCAATGGCTGATGTGGTTGATGCTGGATCGTAGACTGCATATTGCTCGGTGCTGATATCTCCTTGACGACAGGATTGATGCCGGTTTCCATTTAAGCACTTGATATGAGTGGCAATTATCGATGTTTTATGTGCTCCTGGGCTTTTCCTTTCCACCACTTTCACTATCTTTTAGTCAATGTCTTTCTTTTACACAGTGTGATCCTCGTATTTTAGAGCTGTATTGGCACAGCTTCGTTGCGGCGGCGAGATAACTCTTCTTGCATTATATCTCTCAAGAAGCGGCGCACTCGGTGCGTTACGTATCCCACAATCATCAGTGCTAGGATAACAATCAAGATGACAAGCGCGAGTTCGGTTAGAGTTACTCCTCTATGTCCTTGCTGGGTATCATTGGTATTTCCACCTCCGTTTTGGGCTATGATAACTTCTTCTTTACTCTGCGGTTTTCCCATGGTGCCGATTTATCGATGTAGGAACTATATTTTAGTATTCATTTATCAATTTCCTTTTTTTTTTTTTTTCACTGTTCTTCGCACACTTTGCACTAAGTCCATAACTTTGAAGATCACTTCGGTTTGAGTGGCAGGATCGCCATGCGATGTCCCGAGCGAATCCAAAGACGATGTGTTCGTTTGCGATCTGTTTATTGACTAAAACATTTCTTCAACTGTCTCCAATAATTTGGAGAAGCCGTGCAATGGCTCGTGGGAACCTTACGTTGCATTTCTTTTACGTGCGTCACAGCGTACGTCAATGCACTTGCTTTGTCAGCATCCGGTTTTAACCCATCAACCATCACACAACTTTGTAGTTTTACGTGTGAATTTGGTGAAATTTTTATCATAATCACCATTTTAAGCATTTCACATGTGATTCTGAATATCAAAGAATCTTTCAAACTACTATAACACATCTTTAACACTCCTCAGTTTGAATGGGAATTGTTGCAAACATCTGAAAGTTTATTTCACTATTCAGGACTTCATTTCCTCCCTTGAAAAGAACTAGTCAAAGTCCTTTCCAGACATTTTCTTGTCCAGTAATTGAAGAGAAATATGTATATTTGTACATACCTTAGATACATTTCTTATCACTGGAATATTGCCGCAATATATTCACGAACAACACTTACTTTTCCACTTTTGCCACAATAAAGTCATAAATTTTGCACAACACAACATGAAAACATTTACTCTTCACTGTCAATTGTCACTCAGATGAATTTTCACTTAATTTTCACCAAATTTTCTCTGTGGGAAAGAAAAGAGCGTCATTTTAGTGGACACACAAATCCATGTTGTCTCTCTTTCTGTCTCTGTTTCAAGGGTTTTCAAGAGCAGCGGCCCAAATAAAAATATGTTTTCTTCTCTAATACACCAAATATGCACACAATTTTCTGCAAACTTACAAATAATACTTGAGCCTACGGTCTAGAGTTGAATGTAGAGTGAGATGCCCGATGACGGTTTATGCTTAAATAGTGCCTCGAGGAGTGTTTGTTTGAGCCAAAGGAGGCGGCATTTATCGCCTCCTCTTCTTGCCCTTGTCATTTGCCACTTCAGACTTGCGCTTCTGCCCAGACTTTGGCTGTCCGGAGCTCGATTGCGACGCACTGCCACCCTTCGTGCCCTTCTTCTTCTTCTCCAGGCGCTCCTTCTCCTCCAGCTCCTGATTCTCACGCTCAATCAGCGTGATGAGTGTGTTGCAGCGACGCTGCAATTCCGACGCCGTTCTGGACTTCAGGAACCAATCGAAGCGAAACTGTGGCGCCGAGCGCACCGCGAAGCGCAACTCCTCGTACACATTCTCCTTGTCGAAGCCCAACTTGTGCAGCATGCAAACCAGAAATCTGTCCTCCTCCTCAATGTAGTTCTTCCCCTTGTTGTTCCCATACGAGATGCGCAGCTGATGGAAGGGCGCACGATAGCGTGACATCTTCCCATCCAGCGCCTTCTTGATCGACGCCCGTCGCTGGATTTTCGCCTCGCCACGCTCAATCTGCGCCATGATGCGTTCAATGTCCTGCAACTCGTGGCAGCGCTCCCAGAACACCGTGCTGTACTCCACCACCTCCTCAGGCGTCTTCCCCTCCACATCCTTGGCAATGTTGTCGATGTCATCGCGTCCGTACTTCTCATTCGCCTTGATGAACTGATTGAAGTCACGCTTCGTCCAATTCGTGAAGCCCTGCGTCAAGAGAGTCTCCTTCTCCACCACTTCATCCTCCGACAGTGGCTCAGCATCGTCAATCTTCCGCTGCTCCTCGCGCTGCACTTTGGCCGCCTCAGGACCCAGTTCTGGATTCTTGGGAACCTGCAAATGATTCTCAGTAGCTGAGCTTCATGCAAAACAAACACACAAGAAACTCACCTTGTAGTTGAGAGTCTTCCGGAAGTAGTAAATCTCCTGATCGAGAATCTCAAAGAGTCTCGGCGGAAAGAATTGGAAATCCTGGACGATTGGCTGCTTTGGCGGTCTCGGGGCTTTTGGAGCCTTCGGCTCAGACACCCTCAGCGCCTCCCTGAAGTACGCATCCACAGCATAATTGGCCTTTCGCTCCCTCTTGGGCGGCTCAATCCAATTGCCCATCGTCAGCGCCTTCTGCTTCTCACGATAGTCCTCACCCTCGAATTGATACAGCGAACTCTCAGTTCCCGTGTCCATGGTGAAATTCCGCAGAGAACTCTCGCCCAGCGCCTCAAGCTTCACACGCTGCTCATTTGTCTTCGCCTCTCCACGCTCCAGAATAGTGTCAATGTCCTCCTCCGTGATCTCAGAGTCTTTGGACGCAAAGACATGATTCGCCCCGAAGCGAATCATATTCAGCATCTCATCCTTGTTCAACTGACTGGATTTATTGTCCACCAGACGCCCTTGTTGAATCACCAACTTGTCCAGACGCAACTTAATCTCCGCCCTCTCCACAATCTTCTCCTCCACCGTGTTCTCCGTGATGAATCGGAACACGCGCACTTGCTTCTTCTGGCCAATTCTGTGCGCTCTGTCCATTGCCTGCAGATCCATTTGTGGATTCCAGTCGGAATCATAGATAATCACCACGTCCGCCGTGGCGAGATTAATGCCCAATCCACCCGCCCTGGTGGACAGCATGAAGATGAACTTGCTGCTGTTCTTCGCATTGTACTCCTGAATCTGCCGATGTCTGTCCTCGTGCGGCGTCTGACCATCCAGACGACAGTACTGATACTGTCGCCACAGACAGTAGTCCTCCAGAATGTCCAGCATCCTCGTCATCTGACTGAAGATCAGCACACGCGATCCCTGATCCTGCAGCCTGGGCAGAAGCTTATCCATGATCGTCAACTTGCCACAATTGTTCACCAAATGCTCATCTGTGGTGTACGGCGGTCCAGGTTCCGCCCCATCGAACAGATAAGGGTGATTTGTGCACTTGCGCAGCTGCATAAGAATATTCTGCAGTCGCATCTTCTCAATCTTTCCCGCGCCATTCACAATATCAATGTCCTTCATCAGAATCCTCGTGTACCATTCGCGCTGCATCTTTGACAATCCCACGAAGATTTTCAACTCCTTCTTCGGCTTCAGACGCTTCTCCACCTCAGACTTGAGGCGTCGCAGCAGGAATGGCTTCAGCACAGCGTGCAGTCGACTCACGAGTGAATCATCGCCCAGACACTGATTTGTGTTGAACCACGAGTCAAAGTCATCGGCACTGTTGAACACATCCGGCAGCAGGAAGTTCAGCAGTGACCACAATTCGTGCAAATTATTCTGCAGTGGCGTTCCGGTGAGCAAGAGTCTGTTGGCCGTCTTGAACTCCCGCAGAATCTCAGACAACTTGGATTTCTCATTCTTAATCCGATGCGCCTCGTCGATCACCATGTAGCGCCAATTGAACTTCTTAAACACACTCTTCTCGCGGATGCACATCTCGTAGGACGTGATGCACACATCCCACTCGCCCGGCATCAGCACCTCGCGGATGAAGGTGTTCCGTGTGTCCTGATCGCCGATCAGGCAAACGGCGCGCAGCGACGGACACCACTGATTGAACTCATTCATCCAGTTCTGCAGCGTGGACTTGGGCACGATGACAATGTGCGGTCCGGGGTTGTTCTTGAAGTGCTTCAGATAGCCCAGCAGCGAGATGGTCTGCAGCGTCTTGCCCAGGCCCATCTCGTCCGCCAGAATCCCATTAATTCCATTCTCGTACAGCGAAATCATCCAGTTGAGGCCGCGTATCTGATAGTCGCGCATCTCGCCGTGCTTGATGTAGTGCGGCGAGCTCTCGAAGCGAAAGATGGACTGATTCTTCGTCTCCTCGGCCAGCAGCTCCTCGTCCTCCTCCTGTTCCGTCTTGCGGTGCCGATGATCGGCCACGTCGGTGGACGACGTCTCGGGCGGCGGGGTTTGCTTGGTGGCGGCGGTGGGCTTCTTGGGGCGGCCCGCCTTCACCTTCAGCGGACTCTTGGGGCCCGTGTTGGTCATGAAGTGGGTGAAGATCTCAGTCTGCTTCAGCAAATACTCAAATCTCTTGCTGCGATCCGTCTCGATTTTGCAGTCAAAGTCCGTCTCCTTCCCCTTCGACGACGTGGTGTCCGAAGTGGAGCCATTCTGTGCAGGGGGAGAAAAACGTCCGGAATGAATTTCAAAAATCCCCAAAATTACCCAGAAAAAGGCTCAGACAGTGATTTCCCGGCGTGCCACCAGAGGCGCCTCAATCAAACTGATTTTTTCACATTTCCAACTTCAAATTTCCCTCTGCGAAAACACTCTTATCATCCAGCCATGCAGAAGCTCACTCTGCATCGCTGGAAAACAGAGATTTCTGTATTTTTCTCATTATTGAGGAAGTATTTGAGTGAAATGGTGAAATTGCAACAACAAAGGCACTGACGCACAGAATTTTCTTGGCTTTCCCATCAATGCTCAGGGGTTTTCTCACCGAATTATCGTTGGTCTCTCCGGTGTCCACAGTCTCCCCCTCTTTGCTCATCTTTTCACCACAATTTGCACGAAAATTCCTGGAGAAAATAACAAAATTTGGAATAGCCAACTAACACACGCCACCTTCTCCCTCCAATAGACAATCTGCAACTGAAGTTTCTCGATCGAAGAAGAAGAATTTGGTGTGAAGTTGGCAAAATTCACACTCCAAGTTTCCATCTATTCTCCACCAGTTGTCGCACTGTCCCGCGCTTTGTTCACGCGGTATCATGGAAAGTTGGGTTATGACTGGAGAAAAACAGCCCAAAAATCTTCCAAAACACCCAAAATAGACGAGATTTATGAACTGTTTAGCAAATATAACACCAGTGACTTGCAATGAAATACTTTTATTGGCCTTCTGTTGTGGTAAAACACATTGACACTATTTACAGAGCAAATCACAAGACAAATAATTCTCAATCTCTGGGATTCACTGAACGGTGAGTTGTACAAAATTTCTCAATTCGCGTGCAAGCCTCTCTCATCTTCTCCTCCGGAATGGTTATGACGATGCGAATGAAGTTGGGGAGGCCAAAGCAGTCGCCGGGCAGCCCGAAGACACTCTCCTCCTCCACCAGAGCCTTGACGAAGGCCAGACCGTCTTTGAATTTGGGGAAGTGCTTGAGATCAACGCCCACCATCATGTACATCGCTCCGTCGGGCATCACGGGCTTCATGCCTTCGATCTGGGAGAGCAACTCGAAGGCAATGTTGGCGGTGGCCTGAGAATGGGAGAAATTGTGAGCTTCTAGGCGGATTTGGGAGTGGAATGCGCGTTTACCTGGAGTTGGAGATTGATGTCGTCGTAGAAGGACTGCGGAGTATTCTTGAGGATGGCAGGAAGCGCGCCCTGCACGATGGTGTTGGGACACAGAGGCACTCCGCTGAGTTTGGCCAGATTGCCGCGGACCTCCTTCAGAATATCATTCCTGTCGTGCAGGATGATCCAGCCCAGACGCCAGCCGGGAGCCAGGAATCTCTTCGAGATAGCTCCAAGCTGAATCACCGGGACGTTCTTCGACAGAGGAGCCAAAGAGTAGTATTTCTTGCCGTTGAAGACGATGTGCTCGTAAATCTGTTGAGAAGCGCAAACACTTGTAATGCCTTAATCTCCCTCACGTGGTCACGAAATTACCTCATCGGCAATGATGGGCAGGCAGTGCTTCTCCGCCAGCGCTATCACGGCCTCCAGGTGGCTGCGGCTGAAGACGCTGCCGCAGGGATTGCTGGGATTGATCACCACGATGGCCACGGTGTTCTCATCGATCAGACTCTCCATATGCTGCAAATCCGCCTCCCAGCGCTGATCCGGCAGCAGATTGTACGGCCGGAACTCGATGTCGTGCGCCTGCGACACTGTGCGGAAGACGGTGTAGCCGGGAGAGGGACAGAGGACGTTCTGGCCGGGATTGGCCAGCACCACGAGCGCCATCTCGGCGGCACTCGAGCATCCGTTGACGATGATCACGTCGTCGGCTGTGATGGAGTGCTGCGAGCGGTTCATGTAGTTGGCAACAGCCTCGCGAGCCGCCTGGGAGCCGATGATCTGGCTGTAGCCGTTGTTGGCGTGGTCCGCGGCGGCCCTGGTCACGGCGTCCTGGATCTCCTGGCAGGCCTTCATGTTGCCGAACACCGTGGGATCGCCGATGGACAGCGGAATGAGGGACTTGTCCGGGTTGGGCTTGATGTTCATGAACTCGATGATCTCGCGCAGCGGATTGCACGTCTGGCGCGCCCTCCTGGACACCTCCACTCGCCACTCCCGCCGCGCACTCTTGGCACATCCGTTGGCATTGCCATTGGCGACACTCTGGCCGTTCGCGGACATCACACAATCGCCACACACTTCCTCTTCGCACGGGTAATCGCGGGGCCCCAGCAGAGCCCGATGGACAAGATAAGGGGCTGCAAGGCGGAATGAAGTGGTCCGCTATGGCTCGGGCTCTATTTATAGGCGGCTCGCGCGCAAAAAACAACAAGAGACTCGCCTTATCAAGAGAGCATTTCAACAAGGTGATCTTTCTGTTTCTGATATCGCGCCGTAAATCATCATTCAACTCTTCAGTACACACTCATATATTCCCAAAGCATTCTTCTACTGCTGTGTATTTACGCTTTATTCGCACGAAAACAGTACAACATTGAGGAGTAATTGCAGGTATATTGGTGCGTTTGGTTAGAAATCAGACGTATTGTTTGGCGGAAATTGCACATTTCCAGCGTGATCAGGTCCAGTGAGACGGTGAGAGTGGGAGAGAGAGAGAGAGACAGTGTGTCCGCTGATCCCGTTTGCAGTCCATTATCCCTTCAGATCGATCGGTAGTAAAGATGAGTGTAGCAGCTTTCTCAGATGGTTTTCAGATCATCGGCTTTCAGCCTGATTATCAGGATCTTGATTTGTGGGAATTCCGCCAGACACTCTGTCTCCCCCTCTCTGTCGTGTGGGCTGCGCTCTAGATGCCATTGGAGATGATTCTCTTGTCCATTCGCCTGTGCTGGCTGCAGAACTCGCGAATCCTCGCGCACGCCTCGTGCATGATCTCGGCAGGAACCGTGATGACGATGCGCATGAAGTTGGGAAACTTGAAGCACTCGCCGGGCAGACAGAAGACACTCTGCTCCTCCACCAGGGCGCACACGAACTCCATCTCGCTGTCGAATGGGAACAGCTCCATCTCGATGCCCACCATCATGTACATGGAGCCCTGCGGCATCACGGGATTCAGTCCGCGGATCTCGCGCAGCATGTCGTAGGCAATGAGGGCAGTGTTCTGCAGGCTGCTGTTGAGCTCATCGTAGAACGACTGCGGCGTGTGACGGAGGATGGCCGGCAGGGCGGCCTGCACGAGGGAATTGCAGCCCAGCAGACGTCCAGTGAGATTGGTGAGACCCTTGCGGATCTCACTCAGCTGGCCATTGCGATCGTGCACGATGATCCAGCCCAGACGCCATCCCGGCACCAGGAAGCGCTTCGACAAGCCGCCACAGGACAGCACAGGCACATTCCTGGACAGCGCGGCCACAGAAGTGTACTCAACGCCCGGGAAGACGATGTTCTCGTAGATCTGCAGAGAGACAATGATGATAGTGGTTTTGTTTGTCCAAATGAATTGACACATAAGTTCTTATCACACAAATAGTTATTGGGAGTGATAATTGAAGGGTGTCGCGTTCGCAGATCGTCAAGCAAACACACACAATTGAAGAGCAAAATTCTCATGCTGATAACAAAAGTCATTTTCTTCAAAAGCTCCTTGAGCTTGAACTTCTGCAGTGAGAGACTTTGTCAAGTGCGGAATGTTGTTAATGGGGAGAAATGCGTAAAATGCATAGAAATTATCTAATCTTCTGAGGGTGTTGAAGAGGTTTAAGATACATGTAAATGTCCTCTTGTCTCATTCACTATTCAGTAACCCATTTCTTAAGTAAATACTCAACATATTTTTATCATTTTCCTCATGTAATTTCCAAGCAATATCACGCGCTACTTAAGCAGCATTTCAACCTTTTTCATCGCATTTTATAGAGGTCAAAAATATTTTTTCTTTATAAATCTGTTTTTATGCATAAAAAGATTACTAAAATCGTAAAACTGTTTAAAAACGCTCAATTTGGGCATTATTCCATGAAATTTCGGGTTTCAATTTGGCTTATTTTAAAACTCATAAATCTTTCAAAGTTCTTATCCTATTATCGAAAATGGTACGGATTTGGAAAGGTGACTTCATCGCCTACAACTCTCTAGAACATTTCAAAGTCAAAAAATGAGCATTTTTTGCCATAAAAGTCTATTTATGCATTTTGCAGTAAAATATTCATACTGACGCCATTTCTTGGTGGATTTCCAAGAGTAATGGCGACTTAGAAAGCTAACTGCAGAGCCTATTCTCTGTGGAATACGCCATATGCAAGGTTAGATGCGTCAGATCACGTCTTCGCCTAACTTTGAGGGCTTCTTAAAACGATCTTGAACTAAGCGCCTTATCCCACTTCTTTTTTCTTTAAACTTATCGACAATTACCGACACTTAACGATATGGCTTGTGCGCAATATGATTTTTTTGACACAATTTTGGAGGCGAAAGAGCTGGAATCGACAGTTTAAGGACTAATTGGTCCCTATCAATCCTATTTTACCCGTAAAATTGTGATTGAAAGAGTAAATTTCACGCAATTCGTATCGATCAGTGTCGATAAAACTCAACAACTTCGACTTCGACACATTGTTTACAAGAAAAATGTAAAATACGTTCTTTACCACGTAAAGGCACAACACGCGATTGATAAGGTGAGGAAATTCATTGGAGGCGTAAATGGAAATCTCGCATGATTCTCACGATCGATGATGGGAAATTTCCTCGCCGCGAGTCACTGAACTTGATTGACGAAGTGAAATTCTTCGCGGACTCTCGAGGGCGCAATAAAAAGTGATTTTTTTTATCGCGATTTTGGGGGGCACTTATGGGTCGTCTCTCGCGTCTGGGCTGTTTCTGCGCGTCCGAGTGTGGGCGCGATAAGAGGATCAGTGACTCACCTCGTCGGCGATGATGGGCAGATAGTGGCGCTCGGCGATCTCGATGATCTTCTCGATGTGGCCGCGGCTGAAGACGCTGCCGCACGGATTGCTGGGATTCGTGATGACCAGGGCTGCAGTTTTTTCATCAATCAGTGACTCCAGATGGTCCAGGTCGATCTCCCAGTTGTGCTCCGCCAGCAGATTGTAGTGGCGCAGCTCGATGCCGAAGCCGGCCGAGATGGTGCCGTAGATGGAGTAGCCAGGACGGGCGCACAGGATGTTCTGGCCGGGATGCACCAGCACGCTGATGATCATGTCCACGGCACTCGAGCAGCCGTTGCACAGGATCACGTCCTCGGGCTTCACGTCGCCCTGGTGAGCACTGTATCTGGCCACTGCCTGGCGAGCTTCCGCCCAGCCGAGCGTGGGCTTGTAGCCGTTGTGCAGACCCGACGCGGCGGCCTCAGTGATGGCATCCTGGATCTCAGGACAGGCCTGGAGATTGCCAAACACCGTGGGATCGCCTGCAAGCAGAGGAGCAGAAGAGGAGAGTCAGAAACAGCTGAAGAATCAACTGCGCACATCCCGAATTCTCACCAATGGACAGAGGAATGAGCTTCTTCTTGGGATTCGGCACCAAATTCATGGATTCCGTGATCGTTCGCAGTGGATTGCACGTCTTCATGGCGAACTTTGTTGGATAAATGTTCCAATGCGTCCTCACGGATCCCGTTCTCTTGAAATTCGACATTCTCACGTGCGCGCACACTGTTGATCTCAAGACCTATCTCAACACCTGCGGTTGCTTCTGAGTGACTGACGGAGATTCGTGCAGCCGCGCCTTCTTTTATAAAAGTCTCGCGCGCACGCAAAAAAAAAACCACTCACGCTCAATACAGTGATAAAGTCTGTCAAGAGGACCAATTAAAGATTATCAAACGACAAAAGGTGATACTGAAATGAAACATGTAGATTATAAATAATTACACCAAGTTCAATGGTGACGACTTCTGATAGACAGAAAAAACAGCAACATCGAACATGGATAGTCAATAGAGGTGGTTTACATGGTTTGCATGACGAAATGTGATGAGAATATTAGTGCAATTGCACAAAATGCACATTTTTTTGTGATGGTCATTGGTTAAAATGCAGAAGATGGCATATTTTGGCCACGCCCACTCACTTGCCACGCCCCTTCAAAGCGAACAAACATCTTCAAGTCTCTACTGTCAGTCGGAGGGGCCAAGAAGTGGGCGCAGAGACTGAGAATATGCAGTTTCTGAACTAAATTCTGTGTTAAAAATCTGGAATATCAAGTGATTTGCTACAGAAAAATATTGTTAATGTAAATTTAAATCATGTTTTCTGTCATGCAAAGAAAATTCCACTTTCAAAAGAAAGCCAATTGGAAGCACGCTTGTTTTTGTTAAAGCATATAAAGTGATTAATATCAGTTTGACCTTCGTAACGATGAAATGTGCATTATTTAACACCTTTGTTATTTTACTCTTTTTCACCTGTAAATATGCGATGGCATAAATTTGCGTGATTCTGCGGAAAATGCCGTTTTGATGAATTCTTTACATTTGGAAGATGCTAAAAAATCGATACTCATTGACGTAAATTGTAAATTCTGATTGCAAATGTCTTTATCAATAAAATCTCTGCTGTTTTCTTGTACCTTACGTAAGACTCGTTGGCAATTAGTCACTTTTGGTGATGCATATCCGGAAATTCCGTGGATTGAGTGATGAATCACAGGTCAGACAGTGACTGAGAAATGACAGTGGAGAAGAAATCCTGACCATCTTCTCTGCTGCATGGAAAGAAAATTTTCCACAACCCACAAAATGTGATACTTTCTACTCGTTGCAGAATAAAAAATAGTAGTTGACAAGGCAAATATCGTCGTAAATAATACAAAAATAAATTCGAGCAACGATCGTTAGTGATAAAAGTACTTAAAACATGATACGGACTGGTCGGAATAATGGAATGTTTTTCTCCTTTCTTTCGCTCGCGAGTGCGCGCGATAGTTTCCTCTTCATCGTGGCCAAACGAAAAGTATCGCAGATTGGATGGCAGTTACTTTTCAAAGTGCCCACACACAACGGGCATGACGCAATCAATGCCCGCTAAAACGACCATCTCTCGAGTCGCGACAAATTAAATTGATATTTGCTGTTGGCGAATGTTTTTTTTCTTCTTCTCACGTAGCCACACAGAAAGTCACGAGGTTTTCCTGGGGAGGGAAAAAAAAAACGCACCTCAATTGCAGTTGTATGAATTTATTCCTATGATTTCCATACGTCCTTAGAAGCTATTCTCACACTCTTAGTTAGTTTTTTTGTTTAGCATGATTGAAACCTCTTCCACTCTCAGGATGGCAGAGAAAAGGGAGGATATTATGTCCTTATACAATTGTATAGATTAAGGTTTGTCTATCGCGATGTGGAGTAAAATATATGTTTATGTTGGTAAATGTGAAGGGGGAGGAGAATACATAATCAATGCAATCGACACGATGATTGATTGGTTTGTGGGTTTTTTTTTTGTCCCCAGAGGCGTCCAGCGACTGTTTCTAGTGGATTTTTGCGTGGTATCCATTGTTGAGGGCATTGCCGTTGATCTCTCGGAGTGGAGTTCGCCTCTTGGCGTCCCTCACATACGCCTTCACGTAGAAATTGCCGAACAGGACGATGAAGGACATCATGTAGATCACAAGAGCGTAGTGCATCCACAGTGGGAAGTCACAGCCTGTCCGGATGCCATTGATGCCCATCATCAGCGCAGTTGTGAATTGAATCTGTGTACAGAAAGTGAGTGCGAAAGATAAGATTTCTCCATCTCTTTGCCACCCAATATATCACCCATTTGGCTCACCAATTGCAAGATCGTGAGATATTTCTTCCACCACAGATACTTCACCACCGCTGGTCCCAGAGCCGACAGTCCATAGTACGAGTACATGAGCACATGTATGAAGGAGTTGACCATGGCCGGAAGAAAGGCTGCAAGCGTATTGGAGGCACAGATAAGGCCGGGTGGAAATTCCCTGGGTTGGGAAGCGCTTTTTTGCGCCCAGATACTCACTTGAACCGCTGGGCACCCACTTCACGCCGATCCACCACAGGGTGAACATCGTGCTGTGGTGATACACATGCAAGAACGTCAGCTGCTTGTCCTTCTTGCGCAGAATGAAGAAGAATGTGTCACAGAACTCCAGCAATTTCGAGAAGTAGTACCACCAAACCGCCTTGGCAATCTGAATGACGAAAAAATGTGGCCACATTAGGGAGTTATTCCACGTTATTGAACTCATCGACACGAAATGCCTGCAATTTCCTATCAAATTGGACCTTATAATGACCAATATGGACAAATTAGTCCCTAGATTGTCATTTTCAACTAATTTTCCTTTACAATTGTGTTAAAATTCGGTGAAATTCATTGTCGATAGCTTTAAATCTAGTGGAATAAGACGCTTAGGGAGTTATCACACTATATTTACTTGAGATTAACTGAGCACAGATTATTAGAGTCGCTTTAATGCCTTAAGAGACCACAAAAAATTCCCTTAAAGCGATTATAGACTTCCGGGTTACCCTTGAATCGACGGGAACTCGGATCAATCCTCTGTGGATGAGCTTGTAGTGTGTAAAGGTCAGATCAGCGATAAGTCATGGTTGATCTGCATCTTTACACACTCAAATATGGATCTGATCCATTGGATCAGCCATAATTCGTGGCTTAACTGGCGCTAAACACACTCAGGAGTTATTCTTCTTTGTCGACACTAGCGACAATTTTGCTTCGTGTGTTCAGCTGTCAATTGATTTGTTTATTGATCAAAAAGCATGAAATTTCATGATAAAATTGCGAAAACGGAAGATTTGCGGAAGAATTTAATAACCATTCACAAGAGATCGGCCATTTTTTCCGTTTTGAGCTGTGAAATGTTTCTGCAAATTTCCAGTCGAGTGCGAAAACCACATAAATATCGATTGAACTTTCGATATATCGAGGAATCAGTCGCGTTTTCTGGCTTAATCAACTGTCAGTCGTAAACACTCGCGTTCTCGCTAATCCTTTCGTGGATCACCCGCAAGTTTGTAATTGCTCTTAGTTGCTCAAAAATTAACGTTTTAACATCAGCTGTCATTAAATCAGCATTTTTCGCTGTTTTCCCAAAAATTACAGCTTCATCAACTCACGAAAATTCTCAAAACCATGCATTTTTTCCTGAGATACAATTAAACAAATAAATATGAAGTGTATGCAAAAAGAATCTCAATGTTTTGTCATATTCAGCATATAAACCGGGAAATGCGTTGGTGTTGCTGACACAATAAAACATAACATATTTACGGAAGTTTTGAGGTGTGTTTAAAGCAAACAAACCTGCATTTCGTCTGGATGTTGGTTGGCTCGGCAGGGCTGGCAAACGTAGCTGTAGCGAAGACGCGTCGCCGCCGTGAAGAGCTGGACGCAGATGTAGCCATTCAGCACCGCCATGGAGAGATTGTAGGGCACCAGCAGACCCGTCAGCTTGAACGGCGATCGACTGCGGGAGAGATTGAGGTGGTTAGGAATTGTGTGGCCAGGATTGGAGTCACTCACTTCTTCATCAACTTAGGGCCGCTCCACACTATCGCGAGGTAGATGACTGTGTAGATCACGGTGGGCAGTGGAGAGTCCACCAGGAGCCATCCTTTGGTCCTGGTGTCCGACAGTGTCAGTGTCCAGAGGTAGTAATCGTAGATATTACTGACCAGCGACTGCGTCTGGTTGATCAGCAGAGCCATTTCGTCTATCACTCACTCTCAATACAGAATCCTTGAACACACAGCGGCGATTCCTGCTTATCTACACGCACACACACGCACTGAATCCCAGTTTTTAATTATTATTATTGTCTTGGCAATGTCCCTCGTGCTGTCGCACGCCGTTCGATTGACACAATTCCCGCCAAGTGCTTCTGGCGATGGATGAAAAAGTGCAGCAATTGCTAACTTTTTCACACCAACTACAGCGTGTCCCACTCGCTAAGCACACACACCTGAAATATATTGGCCAAGGTGGAGAGTCAGCAGAATGCGGAAAAATAGCAACCGTCGCGCTGGGGAGTCAGTGAGGCAATGGGGAAGCCACTGCCGGAGGATTGAGTTCACAACTACCTCAAGATGCAGCGCGCAACGCCCGAAAAAAAAGAGCATAATTTGCCACTTTGCTGTCAATGGCAGGGGAAAGTGCTGAACTTGCAAAAGACACAGTCGCCCCACCGCGTGCCACAGAGCGATCAAGATCATGTGGTGATTAATGTGGAGAATTACAATGTTTGACTCCATCAGCGCCGCCGCTCAGCATCCTCGCCCACTGTCACAGCAACATGCAATGGATTGCCAGAGTTAATCGTTGTCGAATTCCTTCGGCAATTGAGGTGAAATTCAATGCTGAAGAAGTGCGCGATGATCAAATAATTATGCCCAAAAACAAGTTCACCAGCAGATCTGCCCAATTTTTCCGCCCCAGACGCGAAGATTTCACTTTTTGCACGATGGCCCAAATGTTGCGCGGGAAGAAGAAATTAATCGACCATCTAATAACAATGCATAATCTTCATGACATCTTAATTCGCATAACGCACTGCGCCTCATTTAGCCCACACACACACCGTGTGGAAATTTGTCAAATCGGCAGACAAAGAGACTGCCGGAAATAATGCGACAGATTCCATGGGAAATTAGATGTTCACATCGATCATTTTCTCAGCTGATCTTTAGCCTCTTTAGCACTTTCCATGCGGCGAATTCTAACATTTTCCCTCCTCTTTTTGGCCTCCCAGAAGTGGAAAGCGGAAAAAAGAATGGGATTTTTAATTGCGGCTTTTGCAGCATTTGAAGAGACGCAGATAAGGTCAGTAAGTTTCCCATTCATCCTCAGAACAGACGGAAATGTTAAGGTCAATGCGATGTAAGAAAGTCGTAGCATCCGAAATATTAATAATAATTTTCCACGCAAAAAAACCATACAAATTATCGATCATTTTGCACAAGAGCACTTCAATGATCGGTTAAGTACTTGGTTAAGTATGGAAACTGGCTTTAAAGAGCTGAGATTTCACGACACTCACAGAAATTAAGAAACTGGGGGAATTTTTTAAGATGGGCCAAAAAATCTGCTTCTGGAATGCAAAAACGTCAGTTTTCCTAGGTTCGCGAGTTCGAGGCTTTTCGTGATCATCAAATTTTGTGCAAGAAAGCCTAAAGTGACCATGAAAATCTCAACTTCGCACAAAAACACACGCACACACACTTTTTTCCGTGTACTCAACGTCCTCAACGACCAAAGGTGTAATTGAAGTTGCAATTCACAAGAATTGAATTTCTCTTGTGTCTGGCAGATTCGCGCATATTCTTGAGATTATTTTTTTTCACCTCTCGGCAAATGAAATTGCCTTAAAGGTAAACATAAAGCGAAAACTCCGCATAACTAAAACGATCAAGTGTGCAATATAGCTGTCGAATAAATCATACAAGCAGAGATTCATCGTCGTTCCATTTGTGAATGACACACTCTCAGGGAGAATCTCAGAAAAACAATTAATTGCAAATTTACGACGAGAGGAAAGTTAAAATCATCAGTTTCACGGCTGGGCTTTCTTGCATCTGGAATTCCTCAAGCTCTCTTGTCTGCCATGGCGCTTATTGTTTTGTTGTGACACATGTATTGATCATGAATCGATGGCAGGAAAGTATAGATTAAAGAGAATTTTGTCATAATAATGCAACTCAATTAGCCTTGAATCAGTTTGAAATCATCAGCATTTGAGAGAATTCCTGGGTGCAAATTTCACCTCTTTCTTTTCCCATCCAATCTTCAAAGAAAAAGGAGGACAATAAATTAATCAATAGCATTAACTATCGTCATCCTATAAATAAAACGTGATAATGCGGATTAATGATGGTTGGCGCCCCACCCACGCGCCGGGAAGCCTCACGACGAGGATGTGACAATCACGGAAGAAGGCCGAAAAAGTGCACAAGGGCGTGAGAGTTTTCACTTTTTCCCAGACATGTGAAAAAGAGCCTCCCTCGCTCAGCATCCCTCTTGCCATTCACTCTCGCAACCTTCACGGCGCCGCGCGCTCTCTTCCTTTTTCCTTCCGGCGGATGGAAAAGTGTCGCGCTTTCACTCTCAATCACGTCCGAGGCCACCAAACTCCACCAATTCCGGCGTTGTCCGCCGCACAATGAAGTCTCTCCTTGCACTTGGCTCACACCCACCACAGAGCCAGACACTCTTCCACGCAGCCTTCGCAAATGCGAATTCCTTGTGCACGTCGCTATGTTGAAACTGAAAGGACAACGCGAAGGAGCGTAGCCCGTCTCATCCTCTGGCCATGTGATCAATACAAGCTGCGCATGTCCCTTTCCTACGTCATCAAATTTCGTTTTCATTCACTCACACACAAATCGCCGCGGCGCTTCCTTTCGCTCCTGCCTCGCCTGCCAACGACCAACTTCCTGGGGCCTCAAAGTGCTGTCTGCATTTGGATTTCGCGCGTTGGAGTCTCGGCTCAACACATTCCACAACACACGTTCCATACGTTCTACACGCGATGTAATTTCGCGCCACTTTTTCCTCCAAAACCTTCAAATCGCGCGCGCGAGAGAGAGAGAGAGAGCTTTTCCGCGCTCGCGGATCATCACAAACTGGCGGAGAGAGTGACTTATTCCACACTGAGAGAGAGAGGGGTAATTAGGCAATGGCGTGCCTCTTGAGCCACCCACGGCGGCCCATTGAGCGGACGATCGTGAAATGCACCCACTCTTGGCCGAGGGGTGGCGGCGAATGAGCGAGAGAAGTGGCAACTTTGCAGTGGTTGTGACGCCTGCAAGCGACGGTGGTTTTCCAACTTTTCGCGATACATTTTCCTTTCAGTTTGCCGTTGACCGCGATTCGCGACACCAGCAAATCCGGACAACACAGCGCGCGCGACCAGTGGAATAAGAAGAAAAAAAGAGTCAAGAAGGGACCTGAGCCACCCTCCTCTCCTTTGTGATTCTCTCCCTCCTTTCTTTTTCAGTTGTTTTTTCCCACTTGAGAGGACTTCTCATTTTCATTTCCTTTCTTTTCCGCACATCCTCACACTCCTTTGGACGTCTCATCTTCGCGCATTGTGTCTCTCCAATCATCCTGTGCATCCAGAGAGTCAAAAGGGCAGCTTGAGGAATACAATTGTGGGTCTCTGGTGGTGAAAATCGATCCAGAGGAAAAGTGCCAAGCAATGTGACTGGGCGAAGAGTGCATTAAAGCATATGGATTTGCAAAGTGACTCCTTTTGCCCCCCAAAAAAGAAAATAGTTCGGACATGTTGCGATATTTCCTCAAGTCAATCTCTCTTCTCTAAAATGTTCTCCACACACATTTGATGTGTGTGTGTTAATTGCGTGTTTGTGTCACATGGAGTGCCATAACTTTTCCAAATAATTTAACGTCACATTAATGCTATACATGGAGAAATTTTCCAAGTGAAATTACAATATTCTCTCTCGCAATCATCCCACTATATTGCCTTTCGTGCTACGCAGAAACCATACACTTTCCATCGCTGCAAGATTACAGGGAGATGCTCCTCTGCACTTGTGTGGTGTGACTTTCCTTCTCTTTTGTCCAGAGAGGGGCGAGGAACTTAAGGGCAGGAAATGTGCTGCTGCCAGTGAAGTGGGGTGAGAGGGCGGCAAAAGTGTGTGGAATTGATTGTGGCAGTTTTGCGCGCGCTTCGAATGGATTACATGTGATTGTGTCCGGCAATCGATCTGATTTCCCTGATACATTTGCATGTCCCCCAACCTGACCGACGATGACCAGCACACCCGTCTCCACATCCTTCCACAGCACAGAGCATCAATAATGCCCGCCACCGTGGGACGACGTTTCGTGGAAATCGCTATGATTTTCATTTGGTCAGTTTTTGCTATACCAAATGCTTTTCGCTTCCCCATGAAAATCCCCAAGTGATACAGTCAAAATTCCCTGCATGCGTGGGTGGAAAGGCGCGAAAAAGGCGCCCTTGGAGGGCCTCATTTGCATGATAATACACGGTTAAACACTAAGAGAGACAAACACGGTGGGTGACTTTTGGCAGGACCTTCGCAGGGAAGGAGTTGGGCGTCCAATCAAAATTTTAATTTAATCACACACCCCGTCAGAAGATCGATGAGCAATTTCGCTGATGAAACTATCGATTAAACCCACACAGACAATTCTCACACTCTCGTTCATCTTTCGCTCGCGAACATACATTTTTTTCCGTATTTGACTCTCGCGGAGTAATTAAACATAAAACTATATTTCAAACTAAATGCATTTCCACCCCGAATAGTCACACAAATGTGTGGCAATGTGAGAGAGAGGGGGAAAAAGCATGTGAAAATAGAATTTAACGCGTTGTTTTCGTGGGAAAATCTCTGACTCACCCGGCGCCTCCACTTCACCAAATTGGAATGCAAAAACGGCAAAAACACTGTTTTTTATGATTTAACTATCTAACGATAAAGTGGGTCGATTGGAATTCATGAAAAAAGGATAATTTCCTAAATGCCTTGAACATTGCAAGAGATAAAAGAGACTTTCTGTTAAATTTCCACCTCTTTTCGTCTTCACTCAATTACTCAAAGATTATCATCAATTTTCCGGTGGCAAAAGTCACCTGAGAAACTTTCGGTAACTTCTTGTTTTTCCATACTTTCCTCCCCAAGAAACACCCTCAAAAATTCACACGAAAAACACCGTGAGAGTGCAGACAATTTGGCAAGAAGAGCATTTCGTTGAGGCCAAAAAAGAGGGAGGAAATTGAAATTTTCCATCATCAATCATCATGGTCAAATTTGCCCCTTTCTCACTTGCAGTGGAAATTGATTGCAATAAATCACGCAAAATGTAGTAACACCATTTTTAATTAACTCCCCCGCAGAGTGCAAAATTTGCAAAAAGCCACACAATCAATCAAATGGACGGTTTTTTTCTGGCCACCCAAAAAGCTTGATGATTAAATGTCAATTTGATGTCATGCATGAAAATATTCGTCACCCCGCCGAATCGGGTTTGGAAATAATGCATTATTGTGTGGTATTTGCCAGAGAGGCCAAAGAGCACGGCGCATTATTTATAGAAAACTTCGCCCTTTTAATCTGATTTTCAAGAGTTGTAATTGCCACAGAATGACTCTGTCACGACTCAATAACTCTCCACAATCTCTCTCTCTCTCTCTCGAACTGATACCACACGAATAAATTCAATGTCACGGCAAATTGCTGCATTGACTTTGAATCTGATAGTGATAGCATTGCATTGCATTTCCTCCCCCATCGCGAGCACACGGGAAAAGAGCGCCGACAGAGTCAATTGAGAAAATGGTCAGAGCGGGAATTTAATGGATTGTATTGATGGCAAACTCTGCCATTGCCACACTTTGCCACATTTGTTTGGCAGAGAGGCAAATATTAATCATATATATGCGCATGCAAAGTGAAGAAAAACTTCTTGGAAATTGTTGCGTTTTTTCCACACTCATTTCCGTTTTCTTCAACTTTCCTCTTCGTCATTCTTTTGAGGTGAAAAAAAAAAATTGTGTGGAAGTGAGTTCATTTGAGGTCAAATTACATGGTAATAATAATTTATATCAAGATTCACAAATGAATTGAATGTTTTGCCATCAATCCTAATTTTTCACAATCACTGTCATCAAGTTTTTGTATCAAAATTGAACACGATGACCATTGCATTATCTCGAGATGTTGGCGAAAAAGGAGGCGCAATGAGGACTATCAAAGCGACGCAATCACGGGAATAATGCGAAAGTTGAAGACGAGCCTGAAGATATTTGCGGAAATGGAGCTTCTCTTTTTATGATTATTTCAAATGAATGACACCATATGCCATAAATTATCCTCGCCCTGTCATCTCACCAATCAAACTCCATCTCCACTTTCTCCCATTCGCAGTTTTCACGGAGAGCGAAAGAGGAAAAATCTGACACACAAATCAACCCACATTTCCCACACTGACGCACGAGATGGCAGGATCAATCTGCACACCACTTCCAAATATCCCTGTTCCAACCATAACCTCAAAATATCACTTAAAGATCTTCAAAGATTCCGTTTGCAAGCTTTCGAGATCACAAATGAACTCAAAATGGTCGATTCAGAGCCAAAATTGGCTGGAAAGGTTTCTAAATCAACTTTTTCTAAGTTCAAATGATAATTTTTGAGGTTATGTTCCACCTCAACACATCTTGCAGTGTTTCGTTGGATAAAATGATCAAAAAAGCAATGTTTATTGCATGTAAATGAATAATTGGTTTTGAGCATAAGAATTGATGTGCTAGAATCCGAATTATTTCCTAAATCTATTCTTAATTCGTAACATAACCTAGAAAAAGGATTTTCATGATTGATTCTGCTTGAAAAAAGAAGGGAATTCAAAGAATCTGGAGGATTTGTCAGTAAAAGAAGCATTTAGGAAAGGAATATTGTCAGCTTTAAATGTAAATGAACATTTTTTAAGTAAAAATTACTATTTTTGAGGTTATGTTTCAATTAAACACATTTTGCGGGCATCAAAGGTTTTGAAAAACACAGTTTATTGCATGCAAATGCTTAATTGGTCTTGAGCATAAGAATTGATGTGCTAGAATCCGAATTATTTCCTAAATCTATTCCTGATTCGTATCATAACCTAGAAAAATATTATTTGATATAAGAATTAAAAGAAATCCAAATAAACAGGTAAATTTTTAAACACTTCCACTGAGCTGTACACCACTTCTGACTATATTATCTCCCCCTTGGACTGAATTTCATCAAAATAAAAACATTTTCAGGACACTTTTGCAAGATCAAAAAGAAATATGAGGAAAACCTCATTGTGTAAATTGTGTGTAAATTTTCGCGTGGTCATGAGAAAGACAGATAAATTGGACATGTGTGGAGAAAATTGGACTTTAATTGGGAAAAAATGCAAATGAGGCATATTAGAAAAGTTCAAATTGCCTTTCGTGACACACTGGTGGAGCGCCGCACAAAAGGGGGCGGTTTTCCCGCCAAAAAGCTCCCCACAAATCCATCACAAATGTACATACGTAAAATGCACAGAGAGAAGCTTTCCCAAAAAAGGACTATTGAAGAGGATTTGTGTGGAATTCTGTGTGTAAAATGTAAAAATTATAATTATTTACAATCACGTGAATTTAGGAAATTCACTTTAATTTTAGCACGTCGAGGAGAGGAAGTTATTTTTAGAAGTGCTACTTATGAAGAAAGTCTGGGGGCCATCGCGTTTCAGGCACGACAAGGGTGTTTTATTGCCAAAGGGTTGGTCTTTGGGGGCATATTTCATTGCATCACGGTTGTCAAATTTGCCATGAAACTTTGTGTCTTTTATCCAAAAGTTTTCGCCCCCTTTTTGCCGAAGTCTCCCCAATATTTTACTGCAAATTGACAATCAACAGCAAAATGCATACATTTTGACGTCACAACAACTTCCTTTGCGCCATGAAAAGTCAACTTTCCCTCCTCTCTCTTGGCTATTACAGCATTGCTATATCATAAAGTAGGGGAAACTTTATTGTCCGGCACAGAAATAAGCTCATTAAAGATTGAGTGATTTTGATTGTATAACGCAATGATGGCAATTTATATTATGTATATATAAAGTTCACGCTGCACTTTTTTCAGCCTCTGGAACGAAGTGGTCGCCAAGAAGAATATTACCATTCGACCGAGACTTCTGCTACCGGAAAACTATGTGAAAGGTAAGAAAGGCAATTTTCCACCCCATCCGATCGGCCCAACACACGCGTCAGCATACTTATGCTGAACATATGTGTGTGTGTGTGGGGCGAATATAAACCAGCACGATGGCACTCGAGTCGGTGTCGTGAATCAGGGAGTCTCGCAGACCCATTGCATAAATCGCCAATTAAATAATTGGGTTATAAAATATTCCCATTTTCTCACCCTCACAAGACGCGCACGGGTTGGAAATTCCTCCAGCGAATGCGGCACACAATTCCACCCCATTCGCTCAAAATAGCAACGAATTTACAATTTGCTGTAGCGTGTCCGTTTAGCGCAAAACACAGAATTTCCCCGCGACCCGCGCGCACACTTGCGTTATGTCCATCAAATTGTGTCAATTCCACACACAGAACGCCGCATTTAGCGCCTCACCATTCACCCCGTGTCTCACGTGGAGCACTCTGGCATCAACAAGGGGTTGATGCCCTCGCGGGAGGACTCCCTGTGTTCACTCTCTTCGTCCGCTCCATCTGCGCGCCCGGCAATTCACTGCTGAGACTGCGAATCAATAGGCCATTCAGACGCAAATTGGGAGACAATACCAACTCTTGAGCAAACACTGGGAGCTGCCTTTGAACCCGGCGAACGCAGAATGCTGAGATGCGAAAGTTGAGAGTTGAAGAGCTAATTTCTTCGCTTACTTTAGCTAAGATCCTTTAGCCATTCAGTGGGGGCACCAGCGATCGCAGTGGCGATTAGTCAAATTACTGATGAAGCACTTAAATTCATAGATGTCGCAGCATGCGAAAACGTGACACTTCAATAATATACTTCGTGATAATAACACTCAAGTTAATTGTATAAATTGAGACATGCGAATATGATCAAAACTGAGAGATTTACAAACACTCAGATCTGATCAGAGCAGAAAAAGCCAGGAAATCGCTCAGAAAATTAATCAAAAATAGTAAACAGAAGATTTGTTGAAGATTTTTCTTTAAATTGACATAATTATAAGACTATAGATTTCGTTTTCTTAGCACTTTTTAGCTAAAATACCTGCTTAATTTTAAGCATTCTCCGGCTCGCTTGAGGGTTTCTCAAAACCAACTATAGCTGAAATTAAATCATAATTGGATAAGATTTCGGCCAATTTGTGTGAATCATGTAGAATTACACTCGATAAGTTTTCTTTGGCGTAAAGCTTCAAGTGCGAAGCTTTGCAATAAAACCCCAGAAAACGACTCAAAGGGATTCAATTCAGCTGAAATTCTTTAGTGTTGCATAAGGAATAAAAAGGCCCCATAAAACATCTCATGCACGCAATGCTGAAAACATGCTGTACATCTTGAGCTATTAAAAGTTCTGTGAAGAAATACACAAGCCATCGCCGAGTGCTTCTTAATTAAGCCACTTTATATATGCAAGAAGTGAGGAGATTGAAAGTGAGAGAGGGAAATCCAAAGTCCTCACTTAATATTAAATCAACTTTTAAGGATAAACTCAAATTGGGTCTCCATAAAAACTTTATACTCGTCCTTCTTGCATTTCTTTCCCACGCACAGAAGGTCAGAGGAACTTTTCACCACAATACAGTCGAAGAACATCACAAATCTCACGATCAATCAATGCGATGTGCGCGCGATTTGCAAATTCTATCTATAATTCACACGTACCACGAAAGTGGTGGAAAATTTCCGCGAGCAGCGCAATCAATTAAGAGAAATTGACAGTCAATTGGCTGTTGCGGAGGGAAATGGCTGAAAATTCAGCAGAATCTTATCTCATGCGAGCTAAATTATCTGGGCAGCGGAACTCAATTGGCGCCAAAGAGGCAAATTGGCGAGCATAAAGTGATTTCGGCACGAAATATCCGGCCGGCAAATTATCTCGCGGAGACACAATTTCCCGACCATTTCACGCCACAAGAAGACACAGACAATTCTGGTGTGTCGGAAGTTATGTGTGCTCTTGACTTGTCGCGGTCCGCCCAAGGTCAGTGTCGCGTGGTGGAATTGAGAGATCTGTGGGTGGTCGATTGTCTCTATTGATTTGAAGATTGCGTCTTTCCCTTGCAGAAGTCCGTCCGCCGTCGCGAAAAAACACACCCGTCGTTGTGGAGTTCAGCATATTCGTGGTGGACATCAACTCAATCAATGTGGAGGACATGGACTTTCGGTGAGTGGCTGCGATCTCAGGGTGAACTTTGAGTTCTCTTTTTTTCCAGGAATAACTCGCGCCGCACAAGGATTTCCTCGAACAAACCAAAGCCCACACTTTAAATGCGAGAAAATTGCCGGCAATTTCAATGCTCGTTTCCTCAATGAATTTTTAAGCGCGCGCGGGGTCAGCCCACCCCCCACCGACAATCTGATGGGTGGCGGAATCTCCTTGACAGAGAGAGAGAGGGAGAGAGAAAGGATTCGACCGACGGCTATTGATTTGGAGCCTCGCGCGCGCTCTCAGTGTTTCAACACGCCCGCAATCGATGCGGCGTCTGGATTTGTGATTGATTCATTCTCGTTCGCAGGGTGGATATGTTTGTGCATCAGAAGTGGCTGGAGTCGCGCCTCAAGCTGCACGATGACATCTTCGAGGAGGGCGATGACTACGTGACGCTGCCGCCCGAATTCTTCGACAACCTCTGGCAGCCCGATCCGTACTTTCTCAACTCCAAAGTCGCAGGTGAGTCTGGACGCCATCTTGAAGCCAACAAGACATTGGAGTCGTTGTAACTCTACTTTCTTATCATTTTTAATAAGCTGTCAAAGTTATGTTGGCGCCCGAAGGCAAGAGAAGCCAGAAAATTCACTTGAAAACCCAGGAAATTGACAATCATGGTTGGATTTATGTGGCCATTTGTGCACATTTCAATATGCCAAATTGAGGTTATGTGTTTTCCGGCATCTTTAGACGTTTTCTAAGGAAACCAATTGCATTTAGAAAACATTTCCGGACATTCTGCGCAGTAGAATCCTTAAAGAATCTTGTTTTCACAAAAAGTTGTCGTAAAAATGTCGTTTTGATAGCTAAAATTCGTATTAAATAAGATCAAATTGCTTAGTCGATTCATAACTTTTACGAAATCTGAAAAGCTGCATAGACTCGATGAAGCATGAATCTGAATCAGGATAGATTGATGAAGAGCTTCAGGATTTTGTCCTTTATTCAATTGTGCCCTTGATTGATGCGCTCTAATATCCTTGACGAGGATTGAGGAGTCAATCGATGGAATTTAGCAGTGAGAAAATTGCCTCGAAAACACACAAATCCATCCTGATAACATCTTATGATTGCCCCACCCGCGCTCGTGGCTCGAGGCTACAAACTTCCTCCCAACAGCAATGTATTTCCTGAATCACCAACACTGTTTCTTTGTCGATGGCCAGAAATCGCAACGCTCACGCACAAATTCTCCTCGGTCACGCTGTACCGCAACAAAACCGTCCGCTACGCAGCCCGCATGCACGCCATCATCGCCTGCCAGATGGAGTTCCAGCTGTACCCCATGGACATCCAGATCTGCCCCATCTACATCGAGAGCTTCTCCTACAGCAACCAGAAGGTGCGCCTCAAGTGGTCCGACTCGGGCGTCACGCTCAATCCCGAGCTCAAGCTGCTGCAGTACAACCTGGGCCAGCCGCTGGAGCTGGAGGAGAGCGACGGCTACATGCCGGAGAAAGTCGGTGAGTCTCGCGCGCGCCGGACGGCGAAGATCCGCGGGATTGACGCGCTGTTGTTGGTGTTGCTTGGCAGGTAACTTCTCGCGGCTGACCGTGTATTTCCGCTTCGAGCGCCAGATCGGTCATCATCTCATCCAAACATTCGCCCCATCGTCGTTGGTCGTGATGCTGTCGTGGTTCAGCTTCTGGCTGGGTCTGGACGCCATCCCGGGCCGCGTCACGTTGCTCGTCACCTGCATGCTCACGCTCGTGACAATGTTTACGGGTCTGCGAGCAGACATTCCGCCCGTGGCGTACATCAAGGCGCTGGACCTGTGGATGGCGGGCTGCATGATGTTTGTGTTCTCGGCCCTGGGCGAGTTCGTGGTCGTCAAGGTGCTGGACGTGCAGTATCAATACCAGGCCAATCGGATGCCCAAAGTCATTCCCATGGTGAGAGAGAGAGAGTGCGCGCACTGCATTCCCATCATCCTGCACACTGTCTAACCTTGGCCTCTTGCAGAGGATCAGCGCGATGGAGAAGGGCCAGTGCCAGACGGTGGCCAATTGGGAGGGTGGCCAGGTGAGATCGCGGAAAGCCACGCCAACGGCCACGACGCCAGGCCAGGTAAGTCCAAGGCGAGCGCGCGCGCCCCTGAATCATTGATACACCCCGTCAATTGGCGGTTATTATGAGGTTCAAGTGCGCGTCTTCTCTCCGTGCAGCAAACATCCCTCCAAGGCAACGGAGGCCCACCGAAGCCAACGCGACGCCAGAGCCTCCTGTCCGTCGCCTGGACGGACACAGACACGGGCGTCGAGAAAATCATGTGGCGAGAAATCGATAAGATGTCGCGAATCGTCTTTCCGGCACTCTTCTTGGTCTTCGTCATCCTCTACTGGCCGATTCTCCTCATGAAGTCATCGTAAATTTGTTTATTGTGATAAAAAATGTCCCTCTCCAAATCACAACTCAATTAATTACACCTTCTTTCTCCCCTCGCAACTCAACGAAAACACACACACACACACACACACAAGAACGCCACATAAATGGGAAGGAAAGTGAGACAGATTTGGAGATAAGAGAGAAGAAAAACTATAAACAGTGCGAGAATATAATCTATTATAGCGAAATTAAATACCTACAAACGAGGTTGCCTTCAAAATTTATATATAAAATTATCTTTAATTAGCATTAAAGAACATGAAAGAAGAATCAGACACGCGAAGAGGACGCAAGAGAAGATTTTCAAAACTTCCAAGGAGTCGCATTGTCCCTTTCAAACACATTTCATTCTGTCGCCACTCACGAGCACTCAAGAAATGCCTCAGAAAATGGCGCAAAAAGTAAAAAATATATTGAGTAATGTCATACAATACCCAATAATTAATATTGATAAGATGATAAAATATGGTGCTTATGATAATAATTACTAGTTAGGAAATGGAAAAGCTCCGCATTAGCTAGGCCATTAAAATGAAGAACATTTTCTGCACACATCGAGGCCCGAAGAATCTCTCCTTATTATTTTATCCATTTATAATTTGGCGGGACATTCGAGACGAACGACTCGCCCCACAAAATCCACACTCTATCCAATGTAAAAGTATAAATTACAGTCCCTGTTCTTCGGCCAACAGCCTCAATTCGAGCCTCTCAAGAGCCCAGCCATTGCCACATCGAAAAGGAGAAAAAGGAAAAATTGTGAAAGTACATGAGATGCTGTAGATTTCCTCCATATATAGATAAATTTTGTGATAACGAAGAAATTCAACTATATTTTTGCCGCTATCACACGCGAGATTGACAAGATGTTGTTGTTGAAGCATATTTTCAAAGAAATGAGCAGATATTTTCAGATGTGAAGTAAGATCTATTTTAATGAGGATTTAAAAGAAAGAAAAAAACCACTAAAGAATTAACATTATATATTGTACATTTTACTCTCCTGTGAATAGAGACCACAATGTCGCCTTTCTCAATGGTGCCGAACGCCGCAAATTCAGCCACTTTCTTCCCATAAATCTCTCTTCTCCTCTCTCTCTCTCTCCTTTTGTTATCTTTCTTCCTCTCCTGCGCGCGCGCCACCCACTCAATCCGAAACTGCAAAGTTTTGATGTCATCAGACAGAAAATACGTGTAAATAGCTCAAATTTCTTGTGTAAAAAATCCAAAAAAAAAACAATCACACACCAAAAAGTGGTAATAAAATTGATTTGACGAAAATCAACGTTGACATTTTTTACCTTCTTCGTCCTCCTCGTCGGCAATTTCGTCTTCTTCCACGTCCTCCGCCTCCCTTTCAGCCATCGACATCATCATCTCATCATCCTCAGACACAGGAACTTCCTGCTCTGCCGCCACACGAGCGTCCGCCACGGATTTAAGGACTCTGATTGTGTATCTGTTGAAATCACATCTGGAGAGGAAAATGGGAGAAAAACGCCGATCGATGCTGTTGCAACTGGACACTTTTCTAGCGCCAATTTAATTCGCTACTCACACTTTCGACAGTGTCTCGTATTTCCGCGAGAGACTCTGGTGTAACGCGAGAAGAGCGTGATGTGGCAGGACATTCTCCTTCGGCCCGAAGAACGTGATCACTTCGCATGCCCACTGCAGATGGAATTGAACGTGTGGCGTGTTGGTCAGCAGCTGAGCCACAATCTCACCCAGACGCTCACCAAACTCCTCCGGCAGGCTCTTCACCACCAACTTCACTGCAAGAGTGTTGTGAAGCTCGTCAGAAGCCGCAAAAATCACACGCCACGAGAGCGTGAGGCAAATTCCCAGAACAGGAAGTTGCTGGCGCAACACAAATGAGTGGCATTTGCAGAATTGTGCGGCCCAGGAATGACGCACACATTTCGCATAGACTTATAATAGTACAAAAGCGGAATAAGCATAAGAGGAGCGGCTGTAGTGAGAGATAGGGGAGATTGGGGTGGCGAAATGCTAAAGAGTCCCGGTGGAATTAATTTGCTTCTCTTTTCAAAATTATTGTGCACGTCGAATCCCTCGTGAAATCCTTTCTCTCTCTCTCTCTCCTGGCCAAGGGTAGAGCTGGCTTTCGTGTAGATAATTCAATAGAATTAAAGAAAAGCGGGGAATTTTGATATGAAATTTTATGAAAGGATTCCAGGGAAATTCTCGCCGGCCTTTTGAATCCTTTTGATTATGAGCTTCAAAATGCTCAACTTTACCTCAGGATCGACAAATGCAATTCTGTACAAAAGTGCCCCACTTTGGGGCAACTTCGCACTGCAATTTTTCAGTCATTCTTACAGTGTAATCCCAAAGAAATGATAAAGAAAGCCTTTATATAAGTGAAGAATATTATTTCACATCATCTAAACTTAATGAAGTTCCGAATATCATAGGATGTTGGCTATATGTAACCAACTCTCTCTGTCGCCCATCTCGCTGCATCTCCTGTTTCTATCCGGCAAAACACTGCACCGCTTCGCGATCACGATACGACTGACTGGCTCGCGCGTTTCTCCGCGTCACCCTCAGTGCTGCCTCTACCGTCAAATAATGCTAACAGCGAGAATCTCGTCAGAAGGAGAAGGCCGCCATGACAGTGGCATTCCCGCCACAAGCTCTCCAGGGATACTAATTGGGCAGGACTTGGTGTTTTGCCGGTTGGTCAAGGGAATTCTATTTACACTAATAATTTTCAAAGGTTTTCTATAAATTTAGCAGAGACACATTTGACGGAAAATTCACTTTCTTCAATTCTTGCAAGAATGCCAAGAATAATATGAAAATCATCAAGATATTGAACTTTATTGGCGCTATAAAATTGAGAAGACTGAAAATCCGTAAAGCGATGATGGGATTTATCCCATTCTGCCCCGCTCTCTCCTATCAAACAATTCCACACACTTGAATTTGAAATGCAACCCTCGAATAAACTATCTTAGCCCACTGCAACTCTGTGTGGCCACGAGGTGCATTTCTGCGGGCTGTTGTTGTGGCATTAGCGGAAAAATAACACACACACACCATTTGCGATCTTATCATGGTCAGGCATGCAATCATTGCAGTGGCCGTGTTTCCGTTCTTTTCCCCGACTCTTCTTCATCCCCTTTTCGCCCCAACAACACACATTCCGGGTCATTCCCAACAGCTCTCCTCAACACCCAGGAATCACACGGTGTGGCGAGTGTTGGCAAAAGAGAGTCTTCAACGTGAGTGACGATTTCGGGCGTCTCTCATTCGCCTTGAAGACACAATCGATAACAGTTGACTACAAAAATATCCTTTTATGACATGAAAAAGTCTTTAAAATTCATCACCCAAGTGCAGTGAAATTGCAAATCTTCACCGTTAAATTAGCAAAACGGAAATAAACTTCTAATTATACACAAGAACATTTTTACCATCAACATTTATGATAGGAAAAAAACCATTCATTTCACTTCACGTGGCTGATTTTCCTCTTTTTTTTCTCTTCCGTTGACTTGTGTTTAAACTCAGGCACAATTTTTCATAGTTTACGTTTTCTATACTTTCAGAAAGCTTTTAATTTGTTCTACAAGTGAAAAAAAAATTTGAGATTTGTTTCTTATCGGGCAACAGTAAAAAAATTTACTTAAACAACTTACTTTTTTTCAAAGAAAATTGTTCCAAATCATAGAATTTTCCTTAAATATTCTTAGATTTTAAATAAATATAATTTTTTCAAATCTTCTAAATATTTTTCACTTGAAAACTTTGCAAAAATTTGATTATTTTGAAGTTATTTGGATAAAATGTGCTCGAAAATGATTAAAAATCGACTCTGGAAACTAATAATTTACTTAATCTTTTAACAAATTTCGCAAATTGCAATAAAATCAAGTGAAAGATTCAGAAAACAATTTATAGAAGGTATTTTGGGGTTTTTGATGTAAATTTGGCAAGTTTCGGCGCGATATAAACACTAAATTTTCAGCTCTTTCTCTTGAAAAATGAGATTTTTGACTTTCCACAGTTTTCTGTTAAACCCGTCGAATGGGAAACTTGGGTATTTTCCCCAAGAGTCTCTCTCTGGGATTTCATAAAGGCATTTTCTTACGCAATTTACCAAGAATTATGGGCATTTTCTACTCCTTGAGATTCCCTCTAAATGACTCAGTGTGCTTTGCGATGTGAATATTTCATCACTTCTCATCTTCATTTCAGTCTTCGAGACGCTGAAATATTCAAAATTCCCCCTCAATCTTAAACATGTTCAACTTGAACTTCACCAATAATTCGTCTTGCCTTCAATCCAATCCTCAGGATGGACTTGTGGATAACCTCCTCGTGTCCGAGTTGTGGGGGAGGCAAAAAGTCTCCGACAGAAGAGCGAGAGAGAGAGAAAGTTGCAAGCAGCAGAGCTTCAACATGTCCCAGAACTTGAAAGCACTGCAATCGAAATTTGTTTGGCCTTCAGGTGTTTTCGCCGCTTCACCTTGAATTTCCTTCCGCCGCCCCCACATCGAGGCCACCGACTACAGTGCACTTCCGAGGCATTTTCTGGCGCTGCACGACCCCGCGCGATCGGGCGGAAAAGCCCACCCGCCGCCGCGAGTCTCTGTTTTTTCCCATTATTCTCCACCCTCCTCGTGCAGCAGAGTTGATTTATGATTGCCGGCGGGCGCGCGGAGGTCTCTTTTCGGCACTGTCGCGTGGAGTGTGGGCAGATTGAAAGGCATGATCCGTCGTGTGACGGAAAGTTTTGCCGTGTCACATCACAAGTGCGCGTCTCACCCCGAAAAAAGCGTGCCCACGAGGCGAAAATTGGCGGGAAACACGGTAAGCGGTGTAATTAGACAATCGCTCCATAAAACACCAGAGAGAGAGAGAACAAAGTGTGCGTGGGCGAACGAGTGACTCGGAAACGACATCACAGCATGACTTCCGGACACGCTGGCCACTTTTCTCCTTCCCCCACACACACAAATACAGTCAGTGGATAAACTTACCGTCTTTTAGCGGCACAGATTCGATCACCTGATGGATTAGTGGCGTCTCGTTGAGCTTCAGCGCCATGATGAGCGCCCTGGAGAACTCCTGACGCTGCAGCAACTCGCGCGTCGCCTTCGGCGTGACTTCCTGCGACAGGTGGTAGGGATCGAAGACAATTCCCTTGTCCAGCGCATACACCATGAGGCCCTCCGTGCACGCGGCCGCCCATGAGATGCCCGTGGGCGAGAAGCGAACGCACGTCACGCGGAATTCCGGCTTGAAGCTCCGCGCGGCCATGTCGCCGTGCTGCACGCCGGCCAGCCGAACGGCCACATTGCCACCCTCGAGCGGTTCACGGCGCTCCACGAGGGCCAAGTTGCCAAACTCCGTCACATTGCGACGATTGAGGAAATCCTGCCGACGAAAAGTTCAATGACAAATCCATATTCCACCCACAGCGTCCTTCATCATACTCACACTCAGTCCGTCGAGGCTCTGATTCTGTGTCACCTCGAATTTCCGCAACAGCATGTCCTCCTTCACGTGATAGATGCAAATGTTCTTGGACTTGCCAGCCGCAAGGATGCAATCGCCGTCAGCGGAGTAGGAAATTGTGGTGAAGCACTTTCCTTGCAAGTTCTTCTTCGCCGTGACGACATCCACCTCGGAAACGCCACTGCCCAGGTCATTGCGACCCTCAATCAGGGCCACTTGCTGTGCACTCTTGGCGTGGAAGACAGAGATGTTGCCGTTGAGAGTGGCTGCGGCCACTTCCTCGCCACCCGGATGAAAAGCCACCGCCACGACGTCCGACATGAGATCAATGGACTCATGATCACTCGTGCTCTCCAGGCAATTCCACACCTTCAGCGTTTTGTCCCACGATCCAGACACAAGTGTCGACGATGTGGGATTTGGCGAGAAAGCGAGCGCCATCACAGGCGCCTCATGACCACTCAGGACCTCGAGCAGTTTGCCCAACTTCACCGACCACAGATAAATCTCAAACACATCCTGACTGCCGGCCGCCACGAGTTCTCCCGAGCAATCCAGCGCCACGCTGGAGAACTGCGTCGGCTGTGGCGTTGTGAAGGTGCGGAAGTTCCTGTGGCGCATCATATCGAAAGCCCTCACCGTTCCATCCAGCGATGCGCTGACGATGAACTTCTTGTTCCGGCTGAACTCCACCGCCGTGATGGGCGCCGCGTGGTCACTGAAGGTGGCGAAGCAGAAGCCCGTGTGCAGATTCCACAACTTCACCTTGCCATCGTCGCCACCCGTGGCCACGAATTGGCCGTCCGGGGAGTAAGTGAGGCACGTCATGTCGCTGGAGTGACCCTGCTGCTTCATCACGTAGTTCTCACTCTGCCACTCCCACACCAGCAGCTGTCCCACGCCGGCGACGCCCAGAGCCACCCAGTCGCCGGTGTTGTTGAACGTCGCCGTGTCGATTTGGTAGTCGGAGATGTTGAGCGAGTGGATGAGATTCACCTCGGGCAGCTCGTGGAGGAAGAAAGCGCCCGACGAGAAGGCCGACACGAGAATCTTCGTCCTTCTGTGGTACGCCGAAGCCGTGAGAACAGCCTGAGGAGAAGTCTTTCGCGCCTCATCAGCGAGGTAGAATCGCAAGACTCTCGTGTACTTGATCTTCATGTTGTCCTGCTTCGTTGCCTCTGACTGCCGTGGAATAACCTTTCCCAGTTTGTCACGCTCCTCATCGTCTCCTGCGCTTCCCTCCGGCAACACTTCTGTGGCTGCAGACTCCTTCTCCAGCTCAACGTCTTTCTCTTCGTCAAACTCATCCTCATCATCATCTGCTTGACGCTGACGCTTCTCTCTGGGTTCCTTTGCCTTCTCATCGGACGTCACGAGATCCTTCAGACCGAGATTAGCTTCCCACACGCAAAGCTGACCATTTCTGCTCACGCTGTTCATGTGGAGACTCTTGTCTTCGAAGAAACCACCAACAATAGCGTCTGTGTGACCGCCCAGCACGACTGTCCGGAAGCGTGTGAACTTCTCCACTCCGTAAATCCGAGTGCAGTTGTCCTTCGATCCCACAAGCACCACTCGAGAGTCCGAAGACCAATCCACGCACGTCAAGTCGTCGTGGGCATTCCTGAAGAGCATCTTCAGCACGAACGATCCATACTCGCCCGTCAACTGTCCCGGCGTCTTGTAGATGAACAGCACGTTCTGCATGCACACGGCGAAGTACTTCCCATCCGGGCTGAATTTCAGCCCAGAAACGCCACTGGAGAACTTGTGAGTGCAAATAACGGAGAAAGAAACTGTGCTGATCATCTGCGCCTCGCCAATCTCATTGACAGCCAGCAGAATGGCTCCATTGGGAGAGATATCAATTGCTGTGTAGTTGAATCGACTCTCCAAGGATAGAGACTTGACTTTGTTGCTGCAATTGGAAGAGATGAGAAGGAGTTAGACTTCCGGGAAGGGTGAAAGTGGCACAAAACTCACTTCTTGAGATCGTAGATGGTTATCCTATTGCCCACGGGGCTTATCACAGAATTCCCGTCAGGTGTGAACTGAAGATTCCCCTTCCGGTACACTGTGCCCAGCAGATTCTGAAACTGAAGGAGGAAAACAGGGAAACTTAAGCCGGTGAACAAATGAGGTTATGAAGCAATCTCAAAGCGGTTTCTTAAGACATCGCGCATTACCTTGTATGCAAACTTCATATTTGCATTGAACACTTCTTCACTACACTTTATTTAATACTTTCGATCAAAAGTTATTAGGCTAAACCAGAGAAAACAGCGTCAAAAGCCTATCAAAACACACATTTCGCGTCAGCTAATGAAAATCAAAACACATCCACATGTTATTCAGATGGCGCTGCAAATAGTGAGAGTGTTTGTTGCTTTTCAGATGACCACATAGAGGCGCTGTCATCTGTTGAACGTCGCATTCAATTGGAACCTAAAATAAACAGTCTTTTGATCATTTCTTCTGAATTTTTATTTAATACTTCTCTTATGCATCATATAATTGATAAGCGGAATTGTGAACATCAATTGCAACGCTTTCAGCTCAACATGCGTTCAATCTGACTGAATTGGGAGCATGAGAATATTTAATGCTAATTTAAACATAACAAATTTCTGTGTTAGTCGATGCACAAACCGCATTTCATCTATGTTTCAAATGTTCAATTGATGTTTCTCGTTTTTCATTCCCAAGACAGTGAATTTCGAAAAAATATCCCAAATTTTAGTGGTGCGAATGACAGATTAAAATCTGGGTTTGTGTCTTGATTGAAAGAAAATGTTTGATTTCTCATTATTCATAATTTCCATTTATTTTTCCTTACATTTTTCGTCCTTAAAATTACACAATATTTCTCTCTCTCTTGGGAGATTATAACTGAGACAATTCTACATCATAATTATTCTGTATGGAATTAAAAACTATCACAGCGTGAAAGGCGTTATTAAATAGCAATTCGAATTAAATCATAATTAAATTCCTCCCTTTTCTTTCTGGTTGAGCTACAAAATATGGTGAGAAAATCACTCTAGAATTCATACAATTCGATGTCTTTAAATAAGCAACCAGTCTTCAGTGTTACCGCCTAGCCTAGCCAGCCTAGCACAGTAGGACTTCGTGGGAGGAGAATTCATTTTGGTCAAATGATACACAGAAGATAATAATAATACAAAATACAGATTTCGATGGTGAGGAATTCCACGATTGAATTGGTTAAATATTCTAAGATCACACTCACATGTTCACTTCCCACAATTTCAAATAATTGTCTATGATTTCCTGAAACCAGGCCCGCTTCGCGGGCTCCTTGAAGATCACGTTGATGGACTTGAGGTCGAGCTGCAGGATGGCCTCGTTGCCCAGCAGCTCGTCGATGTTGCGCAGCAGCGAGCCGTTGCCGTGCAGCTTCAGCAGGCTGGCGTAGGTGAAGATGTAGTAGGACAGGCGCAGCTTGCGCGACGCCCAGCGCTCCACCGTGCTGTTGCCGCTGGCGCAGCGGATCTTGCCCAGGTGCTCGGCATACCACGGCGCGAAGTAGTTGTACAGGTCCAGCTGCGACAGCGCCGCGACGCCCTTCGACTTCAGGCGCTCCTTCAGGTGCTGATAGTTGCGCTTGTTGAACACGAAAACCTGCGAGAACGAAAGCGATTCAGAGACTTCCAAGGGGGAGATAGTGCGTCTAATCCTGCGTATACTGAACCTAACCTCACTTTCCTGATCTGATTTCGCTAAATTATTACTGACAAAGAGTCGTAAATAAAGTTAGATAAAGAATTCGGTGAGAAAGTCCACCCAAAACCAGAGTTTTCTTAAATTTTCAATAAATTGTGAGGTTATGATTAAAGAAAAAAGAGATTAACCCGGTAAACTTAAGAATACCAACGAGTAGAACTTTAAATTTATCATTTAAAGCTTAATTCGATGGTAAAACTCGTCAAAGACATTTTTAGAAGCCTAAAATGAGATTTTTGAGGTTATGTTTAATTTTAAAACTATGATTGAAATGAAACAAACATCAAATCAACCAAATTCAACTAAGTAAAGGAAGCGTTTTCATGCTTATGCACAAGAATTGATCGAATTATGCCACATTATGCAAAAGAATTGAATTGATTACATAACCTAGATTACCTTTATTATGATTGATAGCCAATTGGTGGAAAACCAATTGATTATTTCTCTGTAAAGAGCCCTAAATTGGCCATACAAAACATAAAAACTCTTCAACTTATTTCGTCTTTCTTCTTTAAATCCAAAAAACAGACATTTTTTGAGTCATGTTCGACCTTGAACTGCGATTTATATTAAATTTCCGCATTTGCATAGCTTGTAAAGTGCAAATGCAGAATTCTACTAAGCAAAGGAAATATGTTTTCATGCGTAATGCACAAGAATTGAATTGATCGCATGACCCAGAAAAGCGAAAGTCAAAATGCCGCCTTGAGTGAAGCTAAGATGTGTTGCGACTGTCTAATATCTCCCCCTTGGAGAGATCGGACAGACGCTCTTCCTCACCTGATAGAGCGAGTTTCCGGTCACGTAGCTGTTGATGTAGTGCGTGCCGAACTTGTTCATGAACTGCACGGCGGCCGTGCTGTCGCCGGGCACGACGTCGGCGACGCGCTCGGAGATCTCGGGGTCCAGCACCTGGTTCTGCGGGATGGGCTTCCGGAGGCGCGCGCTCTCGCGGAAGCGCGACACGCGCACCAGGACGTAGCAGTAGTCGCCGTGGATGAAGGAGGAGTTGATGCCCAGCTTGCGTGCCGCGATGTCCGGGTGCCAGCCGCCCGTGAAGGCACGCCACGGCCGGTCGAGGCGCTCGATGGTGAAGTCTCGGAAGTAGGCCTGGAAGAGCTGTCGCTTGTTGTCGCAGAACTCCATGTGGAAGTCGCCGTTGAACACGCCCGGCGTCTCCTGCACCGCCGGCTCCTCGAGGCTCTCGATGCCCTGCAAAATCAACCACCGCGGGTCAGCAAGTGTGCGTGACTGCGTGTGCGGTGTTTCGGCTCACCGTGAAGACGTTCTTGGTGGGCTCCTTGAATAGCCACGTCTCGGTGTCATTGTAGGAAATCACCTTCATTGAGATGCTCAAATATCCGTAACGGATGAAGATGTTGATGGCTTTGCCGAGTCTCAGCTGCGATTCAGTCTTCCCGAAGCAGAACGTGATCAGCGATAATAGACCGAGCAGGCCTATTAATTTCACCATTTCACTCATCTCGCCTCCAACTGATTCTGCACTTCTTCTTCAGCTGCAAGGCAAAGGAATGAGCACGAGTTATTGTCAGCATTTCTTCCTAATGAGCCGCGCACATTCATGCACCTCGGCAATCATTAGAGGCATCAGAGTCACAATTGCGGACTCTCAATCAAACTACTGATTAAATTATCATTGCATTTCTTATTTTTCACTGCAAAATCGTGACTTCAGAAAGGTCGCACAAATTTATTTGACTGAATTCAAGTGCGAAATCATTCACTTTCGCCCAATTCAAACAATTTATTTTATGATGTACAAAAATTGTGCTAAAAAAAAACTTTCAATTTGGCCTGCAATTAAAGCAGAGATGTTCCACTTTTATGTGAATTTGATTTTAATACTATTTGAGCGCCATGGAAAGTGGAAGAAAGGCCAAAATGATGACGACACGAGTGACTTTTTAAATAACATGCGAACAACATTGAAACCATTCACAAGGGGGAAATAATTCCGGACTTCTTAGGAAGGTTGTCAAGAAGGTTGTAGATTAAGAAAATTGAAAATTGTTGAGTTTTCCATAGGTTTTTTCATACAAATCATTTCGAAAACAAGCTTAAAAACACCCTTTTGAGCATCTTTTTCTACCATAACCCAAGAAAAAGCTTGAAGAATCTTAAAGATTCAATTTTAAACAGTTTTTGGGATGATTGGGATAATGCTTAAAGATTTCAAGTCTAAATTTGGTTAAAAACTCTCCCAGAATGCAGTTTTTGAGGTTATATTTGTCCTTAGAGACTAGAAATTCATGTATTGGAAAGCTTACTGCTAAATTTTAAACTTATTGTTCAAAAATCGGTAACATAACCTAGAAAACCTTAACAAAAAAGGTTAAAGATTCAATTTTTAACCTTCTTTAGAATGATTTGGATAATGCTAAACGATTTTATTAATTTATAATTCATTAAATGAACTCAAAAATGCCATTTCAAGTCTAAATTTAGGTGAAAACTATCCCGAAATGCTATTTTTGAGGTTATGATTGACCTTCGAGTCTAGAAATTCATGTATTGGGAAGTTTTCTGTACATTCAGAAATTAGTAACATAACCTAAAAAAAACTTTGTACAATTTATTTCTAAAGTAATAATTGAAATACATTCGAAAAATTACACTAATTTGTTACAATTAAGTACAAGTATTTTTGTAAATATTTGAGCACTCTCGATTGCCATTAAAAATCACTTTCGACAGCATTATCTGCCCCTTGGTTTTGTTGAATAAAAAGCGGGATTTTTCTTAGTGGACGGAAGAGCGTCGCTATCAGTGATCGGACTTCTGTGAAAAACCCACCTATCATTATTCCGACAGCCTTAATGAATTGTCCAGGTTTATTGCAACATTGCTATTTATGCTTTATTTCAGAGTTTACAATTTTTTCTGCCTCTCTCTGAAACACCTCAAGAATGTGCAGCAATAAAAAAAGTATCGTTAGCGAGATCTTCAAGGTGGAGAATAATTGAGAAATAAAAACCTTTTTCCGGGAAATTCAATAATAGCAATTATGATTGTTTTCTTGCTGCCGAATTCACCGAAAATCATCAAGTCCTGCTCGATCACTTGGCGGCCAATTAGAGAGACTTGACCTTGTGCCTCGTCAGATTCTGGACACACCCGCAAATCTCAGCTTAATTGTCCGAAATGTCTTAACACTTCTTACAGTCCAAATTCAGATGGTGTTAAAGATATTTCAATGTCATGTTGAAAATGAGAATGGAAAAGAGCTGTGAGAAAAATGAGATGCGCGATTTGATGCTACAATAGCACTAAAAACTAATTGCTACACATCTTAGATTTTAGCATTGAATGAGTGATTGAACATGAGGGGAAATTGATGGAAAATCTCTCGCAATCTTTTCCCATTCTGAGATGCTGCTGCCTTCATGACGATATCGCTCGCATTCAGTGTGTATTAATAATAATCAAGATATGAACATAAGCAAAACGCCCCGCCGTGAAAAAAAAACAAGATTCATTTCTCATATTTTGCAATTTGGCTTTTTGTAACTTCAATGGAAATTTTGTTGATGAACAAAAAAAAAAAGGTTTGAGAACAGCAAACTCCCCAAAAGTGTTAATAGTTGCTTCATCGCGCACTATTTATTATTACAAATCACTTTTGTGGCTCTTCCGACACACAAATTTGGGTCATCAGACCTTCTTAGGTGAAAACAATGCGGTCGAGTGCAGTGTTTTTTCACCTATTCATCTAAATTTGATGCTTTCGGCGGTTTTTTTGCAATGAACAATTCCCAAGAAAGCCAAACATTTGAACTTCGGTGCATTTAATTGCCTTACAAAATACCCAGAATGGGAAATTCTTGAGTTGGATTGAGTGATTGATAAGAGAATCAAGACACATTTTTATCAATGATCAAGGTGTAATTTATAGTTTCTTCAAGTCAAGACTTAAGGTGTGATTTCAAAGCGTCTCTTCTTCTCAACACATCAGCAATTTACAACGATGATTGAAGAGAAGATAGCAAGGCAACAATTCAAGACAAGATCATTTCGCATAGCTCGAGAACATCTTTCAACAATATAATATCCTTTCCATTGAGAGACGCTGAGATATTCAGGTTTTGCCATCTGTCAAAATGCGCTCTTGAAGTGATGATCTTGAACCAAAAGTCGGCAAGAAATGGTTGTATAATTGCGCTGTACCGTTTCGAGAAAAGTCACTTGCCCTGGCAAAAGACACTCACACAGTGCACGCCAACAGTGTGACATAACACTCGAGAGCACATTAACCCATGATCATAATTTTGCATACATTGTTCCACCGAAAGCACGACTATTTTCATGCTCGAATTTCGTCCAATTCACTCGGGACATTTTCACAACTTCTACGCGAGTTTCAGAGTGATTTTGTCGCTCTCAAAGCACCATTTTCTTATTTCTTGTTGCTGTTGTGGTGCCAAAAATCTGGAGGACGCGAGACGCTCTAGACTTGGGAAAAAAGGTGAATTAATATGTCTCTGCAATTCGTCCAATACCTTTGGCCTTGCCGAGTGACTGTTGAGACTTTTTGGACATATGAATGTCTTTTCTTACACATCATTGTCCACACAATCACCCACTTAAGCTGAAAAATGGCTTTTTATCAATGTCCATCAATTACAATATGTATTTTCCCAATCTCTGCATTGGGAAATCATTGTATGTTTTTCCCCAGAAAATCTACCAAAAAGATGATAATTTGCGCTCTGCTGAGATTTACATCTTCATTTATGATGATGAATAAAAATGACAAATTGAGATGTTGAAAACTCATATTAAGCATGAATATTTCGTAAAAAAAAAAGCTTGACATTAGAATTTGTGATATGCGCTTAAGTGTTGCGTTAGATTTTCCCATCTCAGTGAAGGCAAGGAAAACTGAAAGTAAATCTCACAAGTGAACATGCTTCGGAGAGAGTCGAAGAATGGATGTTCAAACGGTTTTTATTGGCTTTTTGTCCGTGAGAAGTAAACATCTTTTCATTTTCAATAAATACATTTATTCTCTGAGCAATGTGAGATCATTGTTTAACCGACTTCTCGGCCTTTCAGCTCAACTTGAGGCTGAAATTGTCCAATCAACGTCTTAATATTTAGAAAAAATTTACATCAATTATGGACAAATTGAAACTGTTGAGCAATTAAATTGCTTCTTATTTGGGGGATTTTATTCGCGATTTTCTTCATCTGAATGAAAAAAAAAATCAAGATGATCATCAAAATCAATTCTTCTTTCTCATAACTGACAATATTTAGAGACAAATTAATGGTTATTTGATGTGATTCTGAAGGAATCTGACGCAATCGTCAATTAATGAGCTAAGAACAAGTCAATGAGCCGGAACAAGAGAGATAATCAATACTTTGCTGCTTAGAAAACGTCTAAAATAAATATAAAAAGCGGTGTAAAAACATGTCTGGGAATTTTTAATTAATTTCAAAGGCCAGAAGAATTTATCTAATCCGCGTCTTTGTATACCTAAAAAAAACCACGATAAAATTGAATAACACAAAGAATAACAAAGAGTTTTCGAACCTATTCAGCCCTTCTTTTCCATCAAAATGCTTGAAACGAGGGAAGAATAGAGAATTGAGAAGAATTTTTAAGTGGTTTTTAAGGTATAACGTCTTCTAAGAATTCCCTAATTAAGTCACTTTTTCGAGCTGCAGTTTGAAGAAGACGAAAAAGAGGAAGATGTGTTATGTAAACTTGAGATCAATTGATATAATCTTTGTGGTTTGTATTTTCTACGTAAGATGTGTTATTCTATGCAAATTCGCTGGACGATGAAAAGGTATTGTGTTTAGTGCAAAAAAAAAGCTTCACATTTCTTGTCCAATTTCCAAGACCATTTCTCCGCTTGACAGCCATGAAGAAGTGGCATTAAAGCTCTCTTGTTCAAATGTCTTGAATAAACTTGGCTTATTTCACTGCTAATTTGCAAACTACTTGGCAAAAAGCAGTTCCTGATTCGCACATGTTTTATCACTGGCGACTTTTGGGGTGTTAATTCCTCCTTTCAACACATCATCTGACATTGACCGTGAAACAGACATTAAAAGGTATGATTTAGAGAAAAATTATTCCACTGGGTAAATTGTGATTTACGGGCAAACTTGGGAGGGATTTTATGAATGAAATGTGTGTCGTCTTCGCCAGCAGAAATAGCAAAATAATTAATTGTGTGTTATTAGTGCAAAATCGTGCGTAATTTCCACCTCAAAAAAACCATTACTTGGCACTTTCTGACGGCGCTTACTTTGCACTGAACAATAAAATAGCACCGAATGTAATTAAGGAGAAGTGCGATAGCATCGGTTTTTTTTGTACATATTGAAAGTGGAAATTGTCGAAATTTCCAGCCGGAAAATCTTGAGTCATCAGACAATTGTGTCTCTTTGCAAACAAGCACACAATTAATAATGAAAGATTGCACTGAAATTCACACAATATTCATTTTT